AGTTAGTTAGTTAGTTAGTTAGTTAGTTAGTTAGTTAGTTAGTTAGTTAGTTAGTTAGTTAGTTAGTTAGTTAGTTAGTTAGTTAGTTAGTTTTATCATGAGCTACATGTCTGAAAATCATCAGATAGAACATATTATTTCACACAGTTACAGTCTGTAATTTGCAATGTCTCAGTGACATCTTATCTTACACGTATGTGGGATCTAGAGAGAAAGAACAAGGAGGGGAAAATAGCACATTGGTGGATAATGCATGACTATAAATTAAATCAAGTATGGTATTTTTATGTAGGGCCTAAGCATGTAGCCTTGTAGATATGACATGGTGGATTCTTTAATTCTAAGAACATCTTTGGTACACTTGCAGAGAGCCATATTTCGATAACCTTGCTCAGTCTGTTGAATGAGGTTATTATGAAAATGTATTTGTTATTTTTCTTGTTAATTTTATCTGTAGACTGAACAATGAAATAAATCTCTTATAAAACCGCTCACAATTGCAAGCTTTTACTGCCATCTATTATTTTGACTTATTGTGGGTGAGAAAGAGGGAGGGATCAGTTAAATAATGTTTCATTATACTTTGAGATGCTTTTCAGCATCCAACAGTAAAGCAATTTATAGCAAGTGAAAACATAAAAAGCCTGAAACTCTCAGACTGAAGAAGTCTCTTGGAGGAGAGACGAAACGTTTCATTAAAGAAGAACCCGTCCAGAAGACCTACACAATTTTTTTTCTTTTTGATTTTTTACCTGGATTACTGAGATGCATCAGGACAAGTGAAAACATGTAGCTTTTAAATCTTCCATTTTTTTGTTTATCCATTCTTTTTTTCAGTGCATGTGGATCATTTCAGACAAAATGGCTGGTAGAACTGTTGTTTTATGTCATTAATAATGTTCCCTTTGYCTGAAACCTTTTTTGTCTTTCAATCACATGGTTTTGCTCCAGACCTTCTGTTTGTTAGCAGAATCATACAGTGCTGCAGAAAAATAAAAATAAAAATTTTTGTGTCTTTGTTCCCTCTGAATGCACCAGTTTTGTTTTCCCTTAGACTTCCACACATTTTTTTACACCCCACACCCAAAAAAAAAAAAAAAAAAAACCTGCATCCTCGGGCCACAGGGGCTGAAAAAAAAGCTGGAAGCTTCCACACTTAATGAGAGGCTGTATAATAAAACATTCCAACAGAGATGTAAGAACTGAGAGAAAGTTCAGTTCCCCTGCATCATTTTAGCACAGAAACATTTACATTTCCTGTAGGCCCATTACCAAGAATGTCACAGCTTCCCCCAATTATTAGTGTGGTCACAGCTGATTGCATACACAGCTGTCGATCCACAGTGGGTGCTCTATTACAGAGATTTAATTTTTCTCACCACAGACAGCTTTTATGTCTTGTTCTACAAACTTAGACTGTTGGTTTCTACTCAGGTGACTCCTGAATGCTGAGTGAGTAAATGTATGATTCAACAATCTGCATGTTTCTACACAGGCAGAGCATGGCATTTCCTAATGAGATCAGCATTTAATGAAATGTCATTAAATAACTTCAGTTTAAAAAAAATGAATAAAAAAATTCATCTCACTCCTCTGGAAGCGGACAGAAATAATTGGCTTGTGTCAGCTGCAGGGACTTAGTGGGCAGAAGAGATTTGCCTCAACGATGGAGGTGGAATACATTTATTTATTTATTTATTTATTTATTTATTTTGCTCCCGTGTGGGGGTGTATCTTTAAATGTGACAAGAGTGATATGATAGAAGGCTTGTATGGCTTGTTGTTTGATTCAGTGTGTTGAAAAGCAGTAAGCAATGCAGTGCAAGTGAGTTGAGGATTTTATTTTTTTATTTTTGTTATTATATTGGATAGTTCTCTAAACGGCCCTGTGCTCAGATGTGATAGGGAAAAATGCAGAGAATTATTTTCCATTAAAAGTTATTTTAAATTATGTATTTTGTGCACGGTGATGTAGTGAACTGAGTTTTTCATTGTTTAACAAATATGAAGCTTCAAGTATATTTCCCCAAAACAATGCATGATTATATCTGAATGTCCATTTGTGTTTYTCTTTTTGTACAGGATTACCTTCCTCTACAGAAGCCAAATCTAACGCTTTTTAGAAGTGCATTGTATCCCCTCACTGTAATTATCATATTTGATTGGGGCCCACAAGTTTGAAACAGGGTTAAAGTTGAGTGAGAAAGTGGGTCAGTTTGTTATTCAAGCGTTTCAGTACTTTGTGGCTAGCCAAGTCACAGAGTATTTGGTGGCATGTGATGGGTCATTGTCCTGCATTAACACCACAATGAGCCTGAAAGCTGCAGATTTATTTCTGTATCACTGCCTGAATACAGCATTGCAAAGAAACTGGGAGCAAACTCAGGCTTTATTTTAGTTTGTTTAGTAAGTCGAAGCATCAGCAACCACTGTGTGTGTCAATAATGACAACCCATGCCATTACACTTTTTCTACTTTTCAAAGATCTTCTTTCTGCAGTCTTTGGTTCTTTAAATGTACGGGTTCAGACTCACCCGTCTATCAGCTCCTTCGTTTTCTTCTCTTTTTTCTTTCAATGTCTAATATGTTATGGTACTTTGTGGAGGCTCCACTCACACCAAGTCTGCAGGGTATTTTAATTCAAAGGGCTTGTAGAAAAACATGTCTTTAGTTAGCRTTACTTTAAAGTTTTGTGTTGGAGCTGAGTAAAGGCGGTGTTTGAACCTAGCTCCTTGTGTCGTCATCATAATCCTCAACATTCCATCACGCCGGGGTCACCACTGAGGAGTAAAAATGACGACATGAGTTAAAACATCCTGTAGTCTGGGTGTGAGTTCAATGTTGTTAATTTGTTAAATATCAGCATGTTTTTTCACTGAGCACCATTAAGGCTGATTTTTTGTGTGTGTGTGTGTGTGTATGTTTGGCAAATATACTGTATAATGGGCAATATGAATTATATGACCACCCTTACTGAATTAAAATCATTTGAGCTGTTGCTTCTTCTTAATTGTTGGGATGACAAATATGATTTTGTGTTTACTTGTATTGATATAATTATTCAAAAATGATGCCTAAAAATAACTCTAACTTTGAAAATGCTTTTAATAGGTATWGTGCATTATTGTTTATAGCATTAATTGCTGCCACTACCCTATTTTACTAATTAAAATTTGAAAGATTGGAATATATTTAAACATTATGCTGATTCTTAGTTTTACCACTGTATCAAATTTAATAGTTTTCTTTCTTTTTTCTCATCAGACAGAACAAAATACAGTACATAACACAGCCTTGGTACATAACATGTATACCACAAATACCTGCCAAATACCAGGTATTTTGCAAGTAATCAGGATCTCTAAAAATCCCAAGTTATGATGTTGCAACTGTTCCATTTGGGATTAGAGAAACTCTATTTGGGTTAAATAATCTTGAACTCATTCATTTTTGACTTGGCATTTCATGTAGAAGTTAGCATGTTCATTGAACCTGTTATGAAGCAACGTGCGTAACTTCCTTATCAACATGATTTGCCACCCACACTTTGTGTAACTTTTCTGTTTAATCCTTCATTTGGGAACCCATCAGAATGAGAGGATCCTGTTGTTTTAATGAGAAACAGTCATTTCCATTTTAATTATAGGCAGGTGAAAGGTTCAGCTATGGCAGTTGGAGTAAAAATTAAACTTTTGTCTGCTTTGTGATTACATCGATTTTGTCTGCTTCTCTGATCTTGAATTCTTGCATTTTTGGAGACTTTATGCACTGGGTGGTAAAGGTGTTTACAAGCTTTAATATTCTACAATCAAGCTATTGTACAGTTGTTTGGAACAGAATTTAGAAAGGTTTGACAAATTAGTGGGTTTTAAAAGCTGCTTAATTTCAATAAATCTTAACTTTTCTTCGTTACTAGACATTTTATTTTATGTCTCTTCAGACACACCTGACATGTTTCGACGTATGCTTCCGTCTTCATGAGAGGTGTCACATAGAGCAGTGGTTCCCAAAGTTGGGGTCGGGACCCAAAGTGGGGTCCTGAAACATCAAAGTGGGGTCCTGAAAAGATTTTCTAAATTAATTACATTTTTGCCTTAGTTGCCTAAAATGTATAAATGTAGAATAATAAATATTGTTACTATGCTCATGTTTAGTTGACCTGATACAAATGTTTATCATCCAAAAATAGTTGTGGGCACAGGTCTCTGTTATTTCGTGGGTCAAATCTGAAAGATTTGGGAACCACTGCACTTCAGAAATCAATTTAAAAGGTAATAAAATAATTGGTGATGTAATAGTTTCCCTATGATTATTACAAAAACACAAAATAAGTATTTATATTTGTGTAGGCTTTGTTTTTAGAGCTATTAACAAAGTTTGTGTGCTCAGACCAGTAATAYTTGGGGTCACAAGTTTTTGCAATGAATATTTTGTGGGTCAAAAGCTGAAAAGTTTGGGAACCACTGACATAGAGTACATAAGCATACGTCGAAACATGTCAGGTTTGTCTGAAGAGACATAAAATAAAGTGTCTAGTAACGAAAAAAAAGTTAAGATTTATCATATACAAAGACRCAATGAAATTCATTGGATTATTATGCTTGAATTCAACTTTATAGTTGTGTGACAATGTTTTAAATGGTAAGCTGCACAATATTATTTTATAATGTTGAAACTAAATTCCTCAGCAAGCYCTAGAACATTTTTACCAAGGCTAATGTTTAAATCTTTAATCATGAGGTCAATTGTGAACATCAGATTTGGGGTCTTGTACATTTAGAAACTAATTAGTCCTCCTCTGTGAATTCAGATTATTGATTAATGTCTAAGTAGGATCCTAGGTTAGTTTAATGTCTCAAGCAGAATCACTACCCACCCTCAACCTTAAAGTCCATAAATCCCAAAATTCCACGTTCGAAAATTGAGTAGTCACAGAAAAAGTAAAAATTACCTGAAAACTCSATTTGGCAAAAGTGTCAGTAGGAACTTTTATAATTCCAAGGTGACAAGTTAAAGACTAGTTTTACTGTCTAGAATCTGAGAAATCATTCATGGTGAAAGCATAAAAAAGTTACAGTGCTGAGGTGATAAAATGTTCTCTTCTTAAAGTAAAAATCATTGCAGGTTGTCTCTGTCTCTAAAAAAGGGCTGGTATCCAACAAGCTTTCATAATAAGTTTGAAACCATGTAAGAGATGTCAAAAACCAAAGATCCTAAATGACAAGACCCTTAGATTGTGGAAGTTGAAATATATATGTTTAAGAGAGTAATATAAGTTCTCGAAATCAACCTTTTTTAACAATATATCTATTTTATTTCAAACAAACTCCAGCTTTCTATTGATCTTTACATTCTCTTTATCTTCTTTTCTTTTCCAGATCTCCAGATACTTTTCTTAGTGTTGTGTTACTTTAGTTTACCTACTTTTAGAGATTTTTTTCATGTTCAAGACAAGAACAGTGATGACATAATAATTCTTAATACAAGGAACACTCCAAAGATTCTGAACAAGTGTAAATGCCTAGTGTTTATTTCAACATCGACATATCTCTCYGACTAACACGTTTCAGTTCACTTTTTATCATTTATATTAAATAAAACCTCCAAAAACACTACACAATGGCCAGTGGTTTAAAGGGAATTTTCATTTACACTCTGTAACCTYATCCATTACCTGATTATACAGCTTTTCTTAGAAACATTTAACGTGTTTCTGCTCAGCAGCAAAGAAAACCAATGCAAGTTTCAGGTTACACTTTCCTTCGGTAACTCATTACAGTGATTACGCCAAACAATAGTTAAACTGCAACTCATTCATTTCTCACAGTGCAAATAATGTGACTGGAACAGGATAAGCGATTGGTTCTAACCTTGTCTTAGTGCAACTCTGAGAGCACAACTGGAGCGATATGCACTATACGGTAGGATATATACATTTCACTTACAGGGTTAACGTTCATCARTGCTCACTTCTTTTTCACGGTTAGTCRTTTAGAAGAACACAGACTTGTCGGTGAAAGTGGGAGAAACCGAGGATACATTATAAGATACAGGAATAAATACAGCTGTTTAATGTTCTTAACTTATACAGGTGTGTATAGCAGTTCTGTGAATAGCATGGATTTGCAAGGGGCWCTGTGCAGCAGTGTGATGAAAATGATTATTGTGAAACACAATTCTGATATAGTGTCATTGAGTTTAAATACCACATGATAAAGCCCATAGTGATGAATACTTAAAATAGCAATAGCTGTCACACCAATGCACCCACTTAGAAAGGTGTGTAGTTGGAGCTTACACGGCAGCAACCTGGGTTTTTTCTCTGCCTGTGAAGATGCCCAGATTTTCAGACATATCAGTTCCTAATTGTGAGTGGGATGGAGTTTATCCCATCAGATTTCCTACAAGCTGTAAATTGGAAACTCTCAAAGTTTGGACCTATGACAGCTGCCGTCACTCATGTCTGTCAAACGTGTCGTGTGCTGCCCGTGTTTTGGTGTTGAAGTGACACAGAAAGAGGCAGAGTCTCTGTTCATTTTTCCTTCTTCTCCTCCTCAGCTTGTTCAGCCAGTTTCTTCAGTTTCAGCCCTCAGACATCACATCAACACGACTTGTCTTCCACCCCCCGCTCCTCTGTGAAATCTTCCTCTCTCCGCAGGCTGCAGCAGAGGATCTCGGGACTATAGGGGCAACCGGACGTGCATGGCAGAACTATTGGGTCGGGCAGCCAGGATGTAGATGGCACTCTCCCTTAAAAAGTCTGCCCAGGTCACCGGCCTGTTGAATCAAATTAAATGCATCACTTTCTGAAAACATTATTCTGACTTTAATGGTGATAGAGTTTTATTGAATTTATTAAACTTCTTAAGGTGTTTCAAATAAAGTCTTGAGGTACGTGACAAATGAATTATTCATCATGGC